TTAATTAAAGATCATGTTCCATGAAGATATTTTGTAAATTTCCTACCATAAATATATCAAAACATAATTTTTTATTAGTAATATGCATTGCTGAGGACTTCATTTGGACAACTTTAAAGGCGATTTCTCTTTTCGATACTCTTTTTTTTTATTTTCAAATAGTTGTATCTCAGCAAAATATTGACCAATCCTAATCGGTTTTGTGGTCCAGGGTCACATATAGGTCAGTGGTAAATACTGAATTTCCAATTTCATCCCAGAATTTTAATTTCGGTGCATCACTAAAGATTAAAGTCACCCATAATATCCCCCAATCCTGTGTAAGGTCAAGAAACACTCACCTGCGTGTTCCTCTTGCTGATTTGCTGGGTGATGTGCGCCCGTCCCGTGCTGGGATCCACACCCACCAGCGGCACCACCGCCTCCCCGATGACATCATCCCGCGCAAAGCGATCGAAGCTGAGCACCAGGAAGTGCAGCGAGAGCTCGGGCAGCAAGCTGTAGGGCATGCCATAGAAGGTGAACATCTCGTCGAACACGGGCTCCAGAGTCTTCCTCAGGACACGCGTCTTCACCCGGTGCTTCTTCTCAGGCAGAATGGTCATCTTCACGTAGGGGTCGGAGCTACCCGCCTGTTCGTCCACCGCGGGGAGCCCCTGCACTCCTACGATGGTCACGACAAGAGCCTTCTTGGGGAAGTTGTAGTCGACGGCCAAACTGAGCGTTCCCAGAGAGGGGGAGTCGAGACTGTGGGGCGACGCCGTCTTACTGGGTGCTTCGCTGCTGCTTCCAGAGCTGCTCTCCATACAGCAGTAGTCGGCCCGGATGGGCAGTGCCCTCTCCAGTCTGGGAGGTCCCACAGGAGGTACCAGGTGGTTCATCTGAAGGTGTGGGGTACCACCTTCAGGATCTGCATCCACAAGAAGCACGTCGCCGTTTCGAGACCCACGACCCCATTCTCTCAACAGGGAGCCCGATCCTGAGCGCCGGCCCACCCGTACGATCTTCTTGCTGTTGCTGAGGGTCTCGGGGTAGATGCTGATGCCTTTGAGCATGTTGCTGAACTTGTAGGGGGGGGGTAGATGCTGATGCCTTTGAGCATGTGGATGAACTTGTAGGGGGGGTCAACGGGTGGGTCGTAGGGGCCGCTGGTCAGCTTGTACGCGCCTGTCATTTGACGATATCGCCGCTGACAGCACGTCCAGAGGAAAACGGCCACCGTCACGGAGACGACCAAGACCCCCGCACCCAGAAAACCCGCAAGTACTGGGGACACATCTGAAAGAGACAGAGACAGAGCATTAGATCACTTTAGCAAAGTCACTTTAGCAATCAGCATTTATACTGACAAGCATTTATTGTAATCTAAAATATACATGAATGTCATTTATACCGAAACTTGCATATCATGTATTTAAAGGGATAGTTCACCCAAAAATTAAAATTTTCTGTCATTATTTACTCACCCTCGTGTCGTTCCAAACCCGTAAGACCTTCGTTCATCTTCGGAACACTAATTAAGATATTTTTGATGCATTCCAAGAGCTCTCTGACCCTGTATTGACAGCAATGTAATTACCACAATCAAGGTCCAGAGACGTAGCAAGGAGATAGGTAAAATAATCAATGTGACATCAGGGGTTTAACCGTAATTTAACGAAGCTACGAGAATACTTTTTGTACACAAAGAAAACTAAAATAACAACTTTATTCAACAATTCGTCTCCTCCGCATCACCCTGGTGCCATTTTGGAGAGTATCCACTGAACGTAAACAGCGTATGCTGTTCTGTGTCAGCTGCGTCACACGGATTCATTGTTTTCGTTCAAATCAAAGCGTAAACAACGTAGAAAACGTATCCGCGTACAGAAAGTATTCTCGTAGCTTCGTAAAATTACGGTTGAACCACTGATTTCACATGTCACATGGATTATTTTAACGATCTCCTTGCTACGTTTCTGAGCCTTGATCGTATAAGGATCCTTGCTGTCAATGCAGGGTCAGAGAGCTCTCGGAATGCATCAAAAATATCTTAATTTGTTTTCCGAAGATGGACGAAGGTCTTATGGGTTTAGAACGACATGAGGGTGAGTAATTAATGACATCATTTTCATTTTTGGGTGAACTATCCCTTTAAGCAG